TCACTCTTACTCTTCTGATTCTCTCCCCCATCCCACCGGGGGTAGGGGGAGTGAGCGAGCAGCCGCGTGGTGCTTAGTTGCTGGCTGGGGCTAAACCACGACAATACCTTAACAACTTAGGCTATTCTTTGACTATTACACTGCCAGATAGCATCTTGCTTCAGCTGTGAAATTATACTGCAACCCAAAATTACACCTTCAACATTCCGACAGCAGCTTTATTGGTTCCAATGGGGCTTTTTGTTTAGGTTTTAGAAACTATGACCCAGCATTAGTTTCTTGTACTTTCTATGGGTACTTAGAGTTATTGTCTTACTTAAATGACAGTTCAAATACGGAGCCTCCGCTGTCATTGCAAATTGCAAGCGTTGGGTCATCTGTAAACTGAGCAGATAATTAGATTAAAAGTGGCACTAAGAAATAAACTACAAAAAAAATGATAGAAAAATGTATGCTATGGCATTATTAACAGCACACAAAAGTACAAGCATCATACCTACCAGAAAGACACCTTTAACATACAGAGTTGTGGCAATTACTGGCTTTTTTATGATGTGTAAGAAAAACAAGGTTTTGTGTTTCATCTTCACCTCTCCAGCAAGCCCTATTGCTAGATTTTGTTACCAAAGTCCCATTACTTTCCACTGCAGCTCAGAACTACAGCATAGCAAAACCTGTGTTACCACTAGAACAGCTCACAGCCTCAAGCCCATGGGTTGGTGCCAGAGCTGGTGAATGGGCTGCAGTCACAAACAGACCAAAAAGAGAAACATCCAGAACTACTAATGATACCAAATAATCAAGGTAAGTATGGGTCACAGCCACAGCTGAGGCATGCTTCCGGAGGACTTTGCAACCCAGCATCTAGCAGCACAAGCATCTGAACTGTATAGCAGTGTCTGAGTACTTTTCCACGCTGGTACTGCCATCAGGTCATGAGCTAGAGAAGGGGGCCACTAGGAGCAGGGGACCTGGCACAGGGGAACATTAATCTTTATGCACAGGGCAAAGATGGCAGAGATGGAACTGTGGAAGATGCAGCAGTAAGGGGGCACCTTCATGCCCACAAAACATTTTCGGTTAGCCAGGTCAGACCAACCAGTACATGAGAACTTGTCCTTGAGCAATGTGCCCCACCAGACCCACTACACTGGTTCCATGTGTGACACTGTATGGGTCTGGGATGTCTCAGCAAGGTCTGGGAAAGGAGGAGAGAGAGAAGAATTTGGGTGATGCGCCAAAGTCACTGCTCTGACCAGGCTGCCAAGGAGCATTATGCTCTGGTACGAAAGGTCTACATAAAACAAAGCCATGCACAAAATCAGATATGAGTTTCTGTGTGCGATGGTAACAGTATGTTGAACAAGAAGCCATAGATGATTTGTCTTTCAACCCAAACATTCCCAACAAGTTATTTGAAAAAGTACTGACAGAAACTACTTTCTACACTTCAGACTCTTTTAAGTTTAAAGTTGGCAAGTCATGTATCCAGTTCAAACCACTGCAAGTTTTAGAGAAATGTATTCTAGCAACTAATTCTTCACAGATTTTGACATCAGAGAGAGGAGCTGTAACAGACAACAACTGTTGTTATAGTATAACACACAGCCAATACTATTATTTCAGCTCTCAAAATACTCAGTTTCTTTTTTAAATAGAATTTCTGCTCATTTTTCTCACCTCTGGATACTATCGCCATATAGTTCCTAGGTAGCTGCTCTCATCTGTAAATCTAAAAGTACTACACAAGGAAAGTCAATACATCTGACTGAACACAAGTGTGTTTTAAAGGGAAAAAAAAAAAAAGTAGTATACAAGGAATACATGTAGTGTTTGTTACCTTAATGTGCAAAATGGCTGTTCCTGGTGGGTGGGCATCTGTTATTGATCGTAGCAGCTTCCCACTGGCCAGATCCCACATTGTGATCTGCAAGCAGATTGTTCTCAGTACACATTTACTGCCAAGGGCTTCTCTCCATCACCTTGTGCATTAGTACATCAACAAATTTCTATATTCCCAATATCATCCTAGGTTAGTAGGGTCTTCATATCAAAGAAAAGTGATCTGAAATCTGTTTCTACCCTGTTTTTACAAGCAGTTTACTTATCTGATTATACTCTTGTTGACAACATTAGACTTATCTTCACAACTCTGAATCATGTCCTTTTGGCAAGCTCTCACCACATGCCTGAACTCACTCACCTCACAGCTATCCGCCTGATAATACCATTAAAGAATGTACGATAACTTTGCCACCACTCAATGTATTTCTCTCTCACAGAATCAGTGAACAGTTGAATAATCTCTGCTAACGCCCATTAGCAAAACTCAAGCATCTCCATGGCTACCATGAACCTTGTCACCCCTCTCCTCCTGCATTTGCCCAGTATGGCAGGTCAGGTAGCAGTATACAGCTTGGCTTGTGCTTGGATATTAAATTCAGGCAATTTCTCAACTAACAAACAGGGAGTCCCAAACTACTTACTGCCTAGCTGAGGAATATTTAGCCCAGAAAAGCTGAGATTACAATTTGAATCAAACTTTTTATTGGAAATACTATTTTATATGGTTCCATAAATCATCTATCAAAGCTTCATAGACCAGATGTTTCAGAACTGCCGCTCCAAAATATTTTATCTGAGTATCATTTAAAACTGACCACTGCTCTGCATGGATCAAATCTGTATTTCCACACAGTCTGGAGCAGTCTGTCATTTAGCCCTATCATATGCACTGGAGTGTGTTTTATCTAGAAATGAAGGTGAAAGCCAAAGGAGCAAAAGGAAATGAAACTAAAAAGAAAAACAAAGCACAGTAAAACAAGCTTTAATTACAAAGCATATATCTCAGAGTGACCTAGAAAGACTAAGCTGGTTGTCCTGGTGCGCCATTGCACATTTCAGTTTATCAGGAGCAGGACTTGTGTCACAATGAGCCATGATTAATTGAATACTTCACTATATTCTGCGTTACCCATTTCCTCTACAGGAACCTATCCCAAACAATCTGTCTGAGTTAGCTCGCTGGATGCAGGAACTGGCTGGCCAAAAAAGCTCTGGGCAGATCAAGTCATGCATACTGCTTCTCAGCACAAAACCGACTACCAAACAGCTACATATTGAGTGTGCTTGGCTTGGAGCTATTGTCACCTCTGGATAGTCTCTCAGTAACAGTCTGCAGAAGGACAGAGCACTGGACCGTTTTATCCTGTAGGAATTACCTGTCCTTTCGCAAAGCCACACAGGAGTCTTGAACAGTCGTTGTTGATGCTGAGAGCAGAGATAGCCCCATACTGGGCCCCAACAGCAGTGCTGCCCAGACACAGTCGAAGAGCCTGGTTTTGATCTAGAGCAGAACAATTAGTAAGAAATTAAAGAGAAAGACAGAGCAATTATTAAAATTAACATCATGCAATTATTTACATATACAATTCACTTAGGGATACATTAATGATTCATAGGCTTACAGTTAAGTTCTTAGAAAGAGTTTACAAGATGAGAGCACATGTTAGTACAGAGAGAGAGGGACTCTGTCTTGCAGGGACATACAAAAATTATTTTTAAAAGTACAAAACAGGCACAGGGAATATGGAAGTGCAGAGGTATTAAAAACTGAAGAAACTCCTAGAAAAATCAAAGCAGTATCTAGCTTTCCTTTTACTATTCTACAATGGTGCTTAAGTTGTAGCAAAGAAGATGACAGAAAATTAATTCTGTCTTCTGAGCCTTATGCTTCTGCATGCCGATTTGAACATCAACTACAAATCCCCAACACAGGTTTTTGGTAAGTGTAATTTTACATAACTTGGTTTTGTTGATAAAGGCCAGAAGCTGGAGGGAAAACGAACTTGTGTCCCCAAGCTGCACAGCTAAAATGCTCGGTGAGCTCTAGTGCACATAGCTCTTACTTTATAAGGCAACAGTAATGATCACCACACTGTGACAGAACCTCCTTTCCTGAGACACAGGCTACTGCAAAAGAGGTGCTAATGCCTGCACAGCCTCCTAGGGGACTGGACTGCTGCGTGGCCATGCCCTGTCTGCCCCCTGCAGACAGCAAACAACAGGCACCTCTGTCTGTGCTCAGTTCTTGTGTGCTTCCACCACAAGAGACTAAAATTTGCTTTATAAGATGTTGCACTTCAGGCGTTACAAATGATAACCCTCTGCCTGTCTTTGGTGCATTGCTCTTAAAAGCTAAGAAAACAAATGTCCTGGATCTGCTTTTTCCACCTCTCTCCAGTTCTGTCCTGCTTTTGAGTGGGGGAGGAATAAAAAATGCTTTGTGAGGACTGTTGGAATGAAGACTAGAGATTCCAAATGCATCAGAAGCACCACGGTAACACTGTCTACAGTATGTACACCTTGAGCAAGGAAGGGAAAGGACAGCATCCAGGGGAACAGACAGCAGCTGAGCACCAGAAACCCCCTGGAAGAACCGCCCAAGGCATGGGACATATTTTTCCAAGTTTCAGCACCACTAGCAATGTGCTAGATGTGAAACAGAGCATGGATATATCTCTCATTTCATCCCCAATATGAAGTGATGTATTCATCAATCTGCACAGACAGACTGATGGCTGAGCACACACACAGTGGGAATCACCTTTCAAATTCTACCAGTATGAAGAGGCATTAGTGGGAGGACCAAAATAAACACTAGCAAGAAGAGTACCTGAACTCATGGATTACTCTAAAGTACTCTTTAGGGTGAGGAGAAAGAGGCTAGGGCCATGTTCAAATACTTTTTCCACTCTATTCCTTGTTTTCCTGCATCTACCTCGATAAACTCGTCCGCTGTGGTGACCCAAAAGAAAGTAAAAAATTCCTTTTCCTGCAATATCTGCATAGTGGTAGCAGAGAGGTAGGCATAGAGAGGGTGTTACAAACACCACTTGTTCTGCACACCAAGTAAGACAGAGCCTGAGAGAGACAGAAAGGCCATGCTCTGTCTTGCAAATGCGCAAGGAAGGCTCAGGTTTTATAGAAAACTGTCAGTTTTTATCTAAAACATGACAACAGTAGTGGTCAAGAGAACACCATATGTTATGGGTGCTCAGAGACATCAGGATTCTTGTGAATGTTGAAGAGCTCTGCTCTTGAAATCTGTGGGAGGAAAAGAGAAAGGTGCCTTTGCTTGACCTTATCAATGAAAATCATCATCTCCATCAGGTGACAAGCAGCCCAGGCAGTTCTGGAAAAGACTACCTGTTCTTCTTGTACTTCTGCTCTGCTGTGCCTGCCAGCACAACACCTGATGCTGCATGAAGAAGGAAGCATCTCCCCTTTCTTCCTCTGCAGTCTGGCTTATGCCAAACACAGAACAAGGGAGCTGCATTTTCAAATGAGAACTGACATTTGCTTGTTTACACTTAAAAACATTTCATAAAGATACTGCTTCTACTGTAAGGGATGTTCAGTTAAACTACAGGTAGATGAAGATTATTTTTCACAGTTAAATTATCTGAAACTGTGTAAAACACTACTTTTCATTAGCTTTCCAGATGAATGTGACATTGTTCAAGAAAAAATCCTCTGAAAGCCAAGGAGAATGTGAGGGTTCAAGCTGTCTGAACCTACGTGTACAGAAGCAGCTCTGAAAGCTCTGACAGTCACACAAGTTACTGTTTAAGTAGATATCTAAATTTTGTAAGCCTTGACACTCATGTTTAAGTAAACAAAGGATGTACACAATTCAAGTGACTATACTGTGAATGGCTGCCATCATTCAACACGTAAGAGGAACATGGAGCCAAAACTACTTCAGTATTGCTATAGTGCGAAATTTAAAAAGCAACACGCAATGAATTTGTTGCATCTGCCACTCAAGCACAATGCAGAGACTTCCTGAAGGTCAGTCTGACGCCAGGGAGCTACAGCAAACCACAGCACCTTCTCCTCCAGGGGCCAGGCAGGATGTTTCAGCCACCACCTCTGTTACCAAGCACAAGGCAGTGGAAATACTTCAAAACTAAGGCCGTTGCTCTGCACACAACTCTCCTTATTAGGACAAGATGAAAGCAGAAGCCATGTGATGGAAATAAAAATCATCTATTCCCATGCTACTAGAAAACACCTTGACATCACTGTGACAAGGGTGTGCATGGCATAGATCAGAACAGGTCAAAGAAAGGAAGAAAAATCATGGAAGATTTCCATGGAAGCTCAGAGAACACAGAGCTACAGCTGGAAAACAAGTTCCCCAGAGAGGTATTCTCCAAATGGTGTCCTTCACGTCCCAAATAAATAATTCCTATTCCAGAGGTCTGGAAATACAGTTCATTTACAAAAAGAGCATCTGCTACCCATAGAAATATGTTTAAGAATAAGGTGAATACTGCAGCTCTTGCTATTAAATTGCATTCTGTTCCTTCCACTTCAGCTTAAACCTGTCAGTAAGTCAATCAATAACCTGATTCCTGTAAGGCACAGAAAAGGAGAATCTTTCACAGCTTTCTCTGAAAAGGGCAGCAGCTTCAGAATCACTACTACTTTCAATCCAGCTTCACACCTCTGTATGTATACCCACATGAACTTTCAAATCCATTTTCTTCTTCCCTCACCCACAACGTCACTTCAAAATAAACAATAACCCCACTCCACCCCAAAATTAAATGTTTTGTATGACTCAAGTTATTCCTTCCTAAGAAGGAAGCGCCCATTGTTTGCCAGACATGCATTTTCAGAGTTGAGAAATGATCACTTGGAAAGCTAACCCCAGAGAAACCCATGTGTCCTGGCTTTGGCTGGGATAGAGTTAATTTTCTTCCTAGTAGCTGGCATAGTGCTGTGTTTTGGATTTAGTAGGAGAAGAATGTTGGTAACACACTGATGCTTTAGTTGTTGCTAAGTACTGCTTATGCTAGTCAAGGACTTTTCAGCTTCCCATGCTCTGCCAGGTGCACAAGAAACTGGGAGGGGGCACAGCCAGAATAGTTGACCCAAACTGCCCAAAGGGCTACTCCATACCATATGACATCATGCTCAGTATATAAACTGGGGGGAGTTGGCCAGGGGGCAGCGCTTGCTGCTTGGGAACTGGCTGGGTATCAGTTGGTGGGTGGTGAGCAATTGCATTGTGCACCACTTGCTCTGTATATTATTATTACTGTTATTATTATATTGTTATTATTGCTATTACTATTTTACTTTATTTTATTTCAATTATTAAACTGTTCTTATCTCAACCCAGGAGTGTTTCTCACTCTTACTCCTCCGATTCTCTCCCCCATCCCACCAGGGCAGGGCGAGTGAGTGAGCAGCTGCGTGGTGCTTAGTTGCTGGCTGGGGTTAAACCATGACACCATACCAGTACTTGTTCTTGCTTCCAGCAGCCAGTCAAAAGAGGACAGACAAGGAGTAGCCATCAGATAATTTTTTTTTAAAAAATAACTACGAATAAGATGGACGAAATCACTTCCAAAGCAAAGCAAGATGCCTGAATCAATGAGCTCCTATTAATCAATTGGTAAAGTAATAAAAATGGATAAAAGCAAAAGATTATAAAAGCTAGTCTCATGATTTTCCAGACTAATATTATCAGCTTTGAATTAAGGCACATTTAGGATTAAGCATAAAAAGCTTTTTGCAAATGCTTGAAACAAAGGTGGCTATCAATTGTCAAAAATATGTTTTTAATTTTGCAATTTACATAAAGTAATTCTTCATCTCAAAAATTTCTGGTAGTAATGATTTGTGTTGCTCTCAAAGTCTGAAGTCAAAACAAGATGGGACTTTGATACAGCTCTACAAGTGAAGAATAAAAATGAGTTTGTGAATATGAATTAAGTCACTTCCCAAAAAAAAGGAATAAGCATAGCACTCCAGAAGTTATTACTTCTCAGATCACCAGGTTTTTATCAAGACCTTTTCCTTAAGCCATGATTTTCCTGAGGTTTGAAAGGCCTGCTTTATTTCCTGCAGAATTACTCAAATGTTACAAATTCTACAAATAGGTCCTTTCCTCCCTCTTGGGCCTGGGGATCAGGGGGACAATAGATGGTGAGCTAATGGGACAGGCTGCAGACACCATTTCCCTCAATAACACATCTGTCCCCTAAACGACGGCATGCTGAACCCTCCTCCCCACCCCCTGCCCTCAGCTTAAGCTAGTAAAATGATTACTCAGAGCAGGGGTTAAGTCAGACCACCTGTGCCTACCCACATTAGGAACCCACTGCTCCCTCCTCAGCTGCATAACTGGTGCATGAGCGGGGCTTTCAGAAGCTGCTTGCATGGGTTTCACAGAGTTTCTGGCTTGTGGGCTCTTTAAATTGGGTTCCTATTCCACAGTGCTCCCACTTGACAGCTCTCAGGCAGAAACAGATGGATGGTGATCTCATGGAAGAGCCTTTGTCCTGCCCCAAAATAATGCCTTTACAAACAGCTATGGACCTGCTGCCCTAAAACATTATAAATAGCACAGTTACCTCTTCCTCTGCTGTTCTTGCCTGGAGAATTTGGAAGTGTGCAATGCACATGCATTCAATAACCAATTCCCAGACTGGCCAGCAGTATTATCCACTGAGTGGTTACTGCACTACCTTACTTGCTGCTTATCTGGCATCTTAAATTCTGGCACAGACAACATGCAAACTGGGCAAGACAGGAGTTGTTCATGCAGGGTACGTGCACAGTGCAGTGTTACTGTACCTTTTCCTTTTCAGTCCACACAGAAAGGGCCAAAAGAGGAAAGAAAAAGCCAGAAATCAATATAAAATAAAGGACTAAAGTAACGAACATCATATATGTGATAATCTTCAAAGACAGAGACAACCTTCATATTTTGCTGATAGTGTTTCCTCTTGTTAACATTTCCCCTTTTGACTTATTCAAGTAACTGAGAGGATACTGTGATAGCTAGTGTTTTAAAACCAAGCGGTTTAAAAAGCATATGGAATCACTGAAGAAAAATGAGTTTATAAATTTGGACTTCATTGTATTGAAGACAAAAGAAAAAAAAAATCAACTCCCCATTAACTTCAAAAAACAACCAAGGACAACAGTCCCCAAAATCTAGTTTTAATGTTGTCTTTAGGTACTTACACTACCTGTTCTCTCAAGATAGCATGCTACCCCCACACCCCAACAAAGACTCAGGACACTAACCATAAGTTTTACAGCCAACAGAGGAAATAAATGGTTCAATATTAATCAAAACAAAGTGTAGCTATATAGAAATTTTCTGTCCAGAACATAAAGTCTTCATGAAAAATAACACACTTCAGTGAGTTCTGTTTAAGGGCTAGTTTTGGAGTAGTGTAAAAACCTCTTAGCTCTTCTAGCAAGATGGAGGAAAAAACCTCCAAAGATTATTTGTTAATTGTTATAGGCTTGCTGGGAGAGCACTTCTCCACTCCAGCTAGCAATCCTCAAGAAAAGTCATGGCACATAGCCTAATTGTTCAGTTGCACAATGCCGACAACTCCAAACAAGTTTCAGAAAGAATTTGGCAAAAGGATGGCCCTCATTTATATTAAAAAAAAAAAAAAATCCCCCAAGTGAGCACAGCACTAGAAACCAGCTAAGGGTCATACTCCTAAGGCACAAAAAACTGTCATTATCCAAATGTGGTAACAAAGCATCAAATAGAAGATGAACTATCTGAAAGATAGGTAAAAAATGAGAGCACCAAACTCTTCTCAGTAATGTCAGATCACATAAAAAATGGCAAATACCAGAAACGGCAGATTGAGAGCTTAGATGGGTTGTTAGGAATTCTTTTTCCCATGCAAGATTATGTGGCCCTGGAGCCGGTTACCAGAGGAGTCTGTGCATACACATTTGCCTGTTGGGCAGTATTTTCCAGCCATAAGAGTTTTTCAAGACTTGGCTAGACAAAGCCAAGGCTGCCCCAACACAGTTATTGGTGACAGTCCTGCACCAAATCGGGGGGTGACTACAGGCTTCCAGACATCCCTTCCTACCAACACTTCTGCAACACTTACAGGATGTCGAAGAGTTGGCATCTAATCCAACTCTAATCTACAAGAAAAATACTGTTTTTCAAAGATTAGACACGCAATCTGAGAACTGTCCTGTGACAATTTTTCAAGAGCCAACAGAAGCATTCAAAAAAGCAGAATAAAAGCTACCCAAATCTTCCTTAAAAAGGACAAAGCAGACAAGTCAAGAGGTACAGGTGGACTTATGAAAAAGAGACAAACGAAATAGCTGCATAAAGTCAAATATATGAAAGAAAAAAAAAAAGGGGTTAAAAAATTTGCTAGTGACACAAAACTACTCAAAGATATTTAAACATCAGCAACGTTCAACCAGAAAATGGACCCACATTTTTGCAGGAAAAAAAAAGGTGACGTTTCCATTGCACAGTATATACAATGCGCACAGATTACAAAACTTCAGGAAGTAAATCTCATCCTGATTTAACCTAGAAAAATGGTTTCATAAAAAAAGTACAGAAATTGATCGGTCTACAGACACAAACTGCTGGTTTAAATTACAGAATAAAACCAAGCCAGAGCACTAATCCTCTCCCTTTGCACACAAGAAGGCCTTATACAGCCATATCCTGTGAGGATTTCTCTCTCTGCAGATAAATCTGAGAGCACTGGGATCAATGCACAAGTTTTAGTTACAGAACTGGAAGAATTTAGCATAGAACATAAGTGTCCAGGAAGCATTTGTGCCCGTATCTGAAACAAAGTTGGATGACATACTTTCACTCCTCATCACCTTTAAATTACAGCATAGATTCACAGAATAACTTTGGTTGCAAGGGAGCTATGGAGGTCTCGGGCCCAGTCCTGCTGCTCCAAGCAAAGTCAACAAGATCAGCTTGCTCAGGGCCTTGCTGAGTTTTGAATATCCCCAAGGAAGGAGATTCCACAACCTCTCTCAACCCTTATCTAATGTTTCAGCACCCTCATGGTGAAAAATTTAATCAGAGCTTCCTATGTTGCAAGTTAGGTCCGCTGCCTCTCATCTAACACCATGGACCTTTGAGAAGGGTCTGAGTCTCTCTTTTCTATACCTTTCCACTAGGTAGTAGAAGATAGCAACATGATGTCCTCTTAGCCACCTTCTCTGCATGCAGAAGAAACCCAATTCTCTCAGCATCTCCTCGTGTGCGTCAGCTCCGTAATCATCTTGGTGGCCCCCCCTCCACTGGGCTCGCTGCAGTACATCAATGTCTTGTCCTGAGCAGCCCAAAACTGGACACAGTACTTCAGATGTGATCTCACAAGTGCAGAATGGAGGGGAGTCATAATTTTCCTCAACCTGCTGAATGCCCTTGTAATAATACAGCTCAGTACATGGATGTATAAACAACAACTTTCTATGTTTCAAGAGATCAGAAAGCTTTAAAGGCCCTGTTGCAGGTACGCAGAGAAGTTCTTCAAAGCACTGACATCTATTTTAATAAAAGCCAATTAGTGCAAAGCTGGCATTGTGCTAAGTTTCCTAAAAGCCACAAAATGAACTGAATAACTACAGACTACACAGCCTCGCGAAGATCATGGCCAAAATAACAGTAAACATGTTGGGCCAAAGTAATCAACAGTGTAACAAAGAAAACTTTGCTTAAACACACTTGCATTCAGCAAAACAAACAAACAAATCTTACAAAATACATCAATTGAAATATCAAAGCATACTAAGCGTCTTGGACATTCAGTACTCCATCCTTTTAAATGGACTTGATGCAGAAATAATCACAACAAAGGTAAGAATGACCCTTCCTCTTTGCATGCTTATATAGAGTCCTAGAGCCCTTTCTTGAGTGTAAAATGCTAAAAACAATCTCTCTATATTATGATACTTGCAGAGAACAGCTTCTTGTTTAAAAACTTACTGACTTCATAGCGTCTGCATATAGACAGAGCACGAGGAAAATCAGAGTAAAAATGTGTTCCATAGCAGTGATATTGGAGATTTCCACACACTAGACAAATTTTAGAAAAGACACAAAGATCTACTACTAAAAACTCAGTAAGATCATGTGTTGACTGTAGCAGATAAGTTATTTATATTCAGATGAAGCACATCCTGTAATTTTTTTCAATACTAGATTAAGCAAATGGCATCAAAGTTTAATGTCTAAATACCCAGGAAGGCAAGTCTCACAGTCAGTCGTTCCCATTCTTCCATTGTACCCTGTCCCCTATAACTTTTGGTCTCTTGAATAATTTCAGCCAACTTTGAAAGAAAAGTAAAGATGATAATGAAGTTTCTAAAATTGTTAAGGATTTGGTGCTGCATAGACAAAACGCACAAAAACTCGACATGTATGGGAGCAATTCAAGAGCTGTTTTCGCCCAGCTGGTAAGCTGGATAAACAGAGGCACAAGCTCAGAAATTTTTAAGAAAGTTTGGTGATAAGAGGAAGGAAAGAATAACAGAATGAAGGGACACAGAGGTGACTGGTGCTGGGGAAGGTCAGGGAAGGAGAAACGTATGATGCAAGCCTGCAGGTAGCCATGGGTCAGAAGTTCCAGTTCCCAAGGAACAGATTTTAATTTCCCTAATGCTGGCAGCTATTATGTCATAGGAGAGAAGAAGATTAATACTGTATGAGATGATGGTTGTATACTGATTCTGGTTTCTTCCACATGAAAACAGAGTAAATTATATTTAAACATAGAAAAGGTTCTTTAGACAATTACCACAGAGCTAAATTTCTCAATATCGAAGTACCAATTCCCAACAAAGCAGAAGAAATATGTGAATAAGGACACCTAAAATATTACTTATGTGTTATTTCTTCACTGAAAGAAAATCACATGTAGCACAAACAGAACATATTAGAAGAAATCCACCCTGTAGTTCTAATTCAGGCTGGGTTTTTTTGCTTGTGTGTGTTTGGTTTTGTATTTTTGGGGTTTTTTTAAGGTCATTAAAACACAAAAACCTCAAAACTTTATTTTTAACTTACCAAATATCAGTGCTAACCCATGGGAAGTCCCCACTGCTATCAGGTTTGATGCTGCCTGAAATAGTCATGCAGAAAGATTGAAAGTAGAAGAAATGTCAGTCACAAATCCACCACTTAAACTCTCACTATACTCATGCAAAGTTTGCCAAAAGGGGAAGATTTAGGTTATAGATATAACCATTTTCTAATTTATAAGTGACAAGCAATTTCTGCATGAAAGCTAGAGAAGTATTACACCTGAATGACCATCACAAGATTTTCTCAAGTTCAGAGGGCTGCCTTTTCCTCTGCTGTTTGAAATTCAAATGCTCAGAATGGTACCCACAGTGAAATTTCTTCTCTCTAAAGTCAGCCTTATTCTTTTGGTGAGGTAGCTGAGTATAAATATTCAGAGGGTTTTTCTCACTCAGTTACTACATCCACATCGGAACTCTTCTACAACCCTGGGCACCGCTGGTCCCCTGAAGAGACAGTCCGCAGCAAGCCCAGAGACTCCAACTTCCTTCCATGGGGAATTAAACATAGCTCCAAGATTCTATCATACTTGCAAACCTGCACCAAATTAAATAAAACTTAACAGAAATCACATAATGCTGTAGATATATTAATGTTGTTCTACTTTTTATTTCTGAGCAAGTGTAAGTCAGATTAAAAAAAAAATTAAGTGCTTTAATGTCTGGAGTATGTAAGCACAGGTTTTTATCCTGTGTACGCACCAGTCACAGCGTGCTTCCAGTTTTGCTGTGCAACCTTTTGCCTCAGATGTGACTACGGTTTTCTTCCTTTTTCTTTTTTAAACAAAAAGTATAATTTCTTATGGATTGCTGCTACGAGGAGCACCTCTCCTACAACAACAGGCTGATGGAGTTGGGGTTGTTCAGCCTGGAGAAGAGAAGGCTGCGAGGAAACTTTTTTGCAGCCCTTCAGTACTTAAAGGGGGCCTATAGGAAAGATGGGGACAATCTTTTTAGCAAGGCCTGTTGTGACAGGACAAGGAATAACAGATTTAAACTAAAGAAGAATAGATTTAGACTAGATATAAGGAAGAAATTTCTTACAATGAGGGCGGTCAAGCACTGGAACAGGTTGCCCAGAGAGGTGGTGGAGGCCCCATCCCTGGCAACATTCAAGGTCAGGTTGGATGGGGCTCTGAGCAACCTGATCTGGTTAAAGCTGTCCCTGCTCACTGCAGGGGGGTTGGGCTAGATGACCTCTAAAGGTCCCTTCCAACCCAAAGCATTCTGTGGTTCTATGACTCTACTACAGTCAAAGCAACCAAGCGCACCTTTAGTTTCTTTGTAAAACATGAAAACTCATTTCACAAGGGCAGAAAAAATACTTGCTGTATTTCACCTCCTTAAAATGTTTCTCTTCTCCTTTAACTATAGGCAGCTTCATTTCTGACATATTTTAATTAGCATGCTTGACTTCAAGAAGCTTAATGAAAAGTGCTAAGCAGGAGTATCTTTCAGACAGGCTTTTAGTGAAATTTTCTATTTTAAGGTCATATTTCAGTTACATCAGAGCCATAGAGATTTTGAACCCATTACTTCATGAGCACTTCAGTTTAAGTTTCTTTAAAAAATTGTTAGGAGTCAATGCAATAATTGGCAAAGAAGAAATAGCAAGGGAAATTCAATGTGTTCAACAGATGAACACTTACCTTATGGGAAAGGTTAGGTGCTTAACTAACAAGCCTTGGTGGTGACATGAAAAAGGGGAGAGAGTGGGGTTTGATCAGCAGAGGGGCAGCTGGGCAGTTAAGAAAGGTTGAACTCCATCCCCAGGAACTAGATCTTTCATGCTGCTTCTCCCACGCCTCATATTTGATAATTCTTAGTAAGGGTAAGAAGGAAGATGCATTTATCAGCTGTCTGAAATTACTGCTTTAACAAACTGGAACGAAAACTAACTATACAGTACTTGAAAATTGTTAGAATACTTACAATTGCAGTGGGCAAGCCAGCATCCACTTTATCCTAGAAAAACAGGACAAGTCATGAGTAAGAGAGACAGAACTCCCAGCTCTGTGCATGTCTAATAATTAGAACTACAGCATGCAGAAAAATCAACACAAGTTGCATTTTAATAGCCCACCAGGGCAGATAGTGCTGAGGGAACCACTGGCTAGAAACACCCAGAAGGGATGAGAAGGTGCACAGAAATGGAGAGGAAGCAGAATATCCTGTAATTCCATATGAAAGGTACCATGTTCTTCTCAAAACAGTCTGATCTTCATAACAGTTTTTAGTATTCTCTGTGTACACAGCATAGACATCGATTGCAAAACTGCTTCACTCTCCCCTCGCAAGAACACCTTATCAGCTTCGCGTTCAGGTGGCTCACCCACATCTCCATCAACACAAGTAACAGCCAGCAGCAGCACCCTAACACTGAGAACCTGGTCACACAGCCACCACAAAACTCTCACAGATGAGTCACTGGTATTCTATTCTAACTTGCATGCTTCAGAAATCATATGCTTTATAAATTGCCACCTTAGCTCTGATCTTGGACAGTCAGTTTTCCCCTGGCAGTACAATCTACAGACCAGCTCTGTTCCACCCATGCTTGAAGTGCAGTCACAGATGCAGGAACGTGCAAACCTGCTCCTCACTTAGCTCAGAACAGTGTTCTGTGCCTGCTGCATGCATTAAGCAAACCTGTTTCCAGCATCTTCAAGCAAGCAGAACAATAGCACTGCTGTCATTTCATATTAACATTTCCTACCAGGTTTAATGGCATCTAGCAACAGAAATCAGTGTTAAAGAGGACCTACTATATTGTTGCTGCAGTAAGTCAGGTAATACCTCATTCACTACTGGCTAGGGATTACTAATTAGTAGTTTATGTACCAAACATATTAGTATTATCCAGAACTAACAGTAGGGGGAGGGAGGAGGTCACACACACACACACCCCCCTCCACACCAGAAGAGGTTCAAATTTTTCTTAATGGAAGCAACCAGAAGAAAAAGACACTTACTGCTGCAGATACTATTTGGGCAGAAATTCCTTTCAGAAGCGAGAGACGTATAACTGATCCATGGAGTAAGAGAGAATCTGGGAGTTTTTTCTTCCTAAGGAAATAAGAAATAAACCAAATGCGTTAGAGCAGAATAAAACTTTGGAACTTTGCCTAACCCACAGCTAAACCAGGAGGTAAATTCTGCATGCACTCCTAACTCATACAGTTTCTGTTCTTGCTCTTGGGGCATACATGCACAGAACGAAATGGACATGAGATTATTAGCAAAGCCTGCTATGCACCACTGTGCCTGCATAAAATTTGTTTGTAACTCATCTCCTGGGAAAAAAAAAAAAGTAGTTCTCCAAACAAATTGTCAGTTTCAAGCACATCTCTGCAAACCTTAGAATTTATTAATAAAGCCTGAAAGCAATGCTTTTGCTCTTTAATTAATGTTCCAGTGAGTTAGGAAGGTTCAGCCTTTAAAGGTGAATATCTAAGGAAAATACACAACTGGAAAAGGCTCATTAGCAGAATACAGACCCATAGAAAACTGGATGTATGCTTAAAGAATAACATTGCACTAAAGCACAGCTGATCTGATATGAAAGGTTAAGTGTTTCTGTTCATGGAGAAAGTAACTAGTGTATGGGGTACAGAGATTTCTAAGGAGCATTGGTATACTGTAGCACACACAATAGAGGGAAAATCCCCAGGAAAGTTACAATTTTTTTTGCCAAGCACACATCACCAGAAAGCCCTATTCTCAAATTAACAGGGAAACATTTGGTTCTTACCTCTCCAGAGGTGCACAAATAAGTATCTCACATGTAGGCTGAAGAAACATGTTGTTAATAGCTTATATTATGGCTAAGGACCCATAAACATGGCAACTAGCTTCACCCAAAGATGACAATAACACTTCCAGGTTTTCTGCCCACTCTGTACTGGAAAATGCTTAAGCCACTCCAGGTAACATTTCCCTCAATAAAAACCATTTTATTTGAAAACAGAAGGGGCAGTAAGTCAGTACACAATCATATGCCAGCACAAACCATCACATTTAAAGGTGTTTATATCCTATGCAGTTGCTCATGCAACAACCACAACTTCTTATGGCCCATAAGGTGGCCATGGGAGTGGCTCAGGATGTAGGATCAGGCCACCATTTGAGTAATTAATGAGATAAGTCAGCAGTATTACAGCTAATTATCACATTCCAGGCTGCTTTTAGATGTCAAGATTAGCATTCCATTTACAGGAGTGACAGCAGTTCACCTGCCTTTTAAAAATAACCACCAGCTGCTTACAGACTCTGGAAGTCATGAGACACCTTTGAAAGGTTTTCTTTAAAATCATCATAGTTCAGTCTTTTAAAGATTCCATTAAAATTCAGAGAAATGTAAATACTCCATCTCCCATAAAATGCATTTATTGCTCAAATAGGCTAGCCCTCAGTGCAAAAACAAATCCCATCTTTGCCTACTTGATCCTGCAGGAATAACACTGTTCTGTTAAAAGCAGCTTCACCGGAGTCCCAGCAGCATCCCCCTGGGACTTCAGCACTAGGATGTAACAGCAGGAGACAAAATCCACACGTGCAATTAAAGGTTCCTACGCAGGTACCAGACAAACTGCATGCTCACAGCAAAGCTCGGGGAGGAGATGCCTTAGGAAGATTCAACTGTTCTTAGCTTTGGATTGCCCTTCTACCCACTTAAAAAACAAGAATTTGTTTTTAATGGATATTAGCAGTGCTCTTTCAAAAATCATTTAACCTCCCATGCTATCAGTCCTGCAGTACCTTTTCAGGTGTGTCCGGTCCCCACTGTCAGAGCTTGCTACAGAAGATGTGTCATAGGAGTGTGTATCCGTGTTATCAATGTTCAAGAGAAAGGGATCCTCCAAAATGAAAGACTCTTCTTCATCATCAGTCTGAAGGAAGAGAATCATCACAGCTTACTAAACATTCAAAATACACAACACCCTAACTGCAACATTTAGCAAAACAGCATCAATTAAGCAGAAAAATCAAGGAGAGGACAATTTTTATCATCTACTCCATCACTTGTGGGTGATATTACAGCTGGAGACCATCTTGGGCATAGCAATCACAAAATTATAGTTTTTGATTCTTGGAGAAGTAAGGAGGGGGGTCAGCAGAACTGCTGCCTTGGACTTCTGGAGGGCAGACTTTGGCCTGTTTAGGACACTGGTTGACAGAGTCCCTTGGGAAGCTGTCCTGAAGGGCAAAGGAGTCCAGGAAGGCTGGACATTCTTCAGGAAGGAAATCTTAAAGCTGCAGGAGCAGGCTGTCCCCATGTGCGGAAAGATGAGCCAGCAGGGAAGACGACCAGCCTGGCTGAACAGAGAGCTTTGTCTGGAACTCCGGAAAAAAAAGGAGAGTTTAGGAGCTTTAGAAGAAGGGGCAGGCAACTCAGGAGGACCACAAGGATGTCATGAGGTTATGCAGGGAGAAAATTAGAAGGGCCAAAGCCCAACTAGAACTTAATCTGGCTACTGCCGTAAAAGACAATAAAAATGTTTCTATAAATACATTAGCAACAAAAGGAGGGCTAAGGAGAATCTCCATCCTTTAGTGGATGCAGGGGAAAACATAGTGACAAAGGATGAGCAAAAGACTGAGGTACTTAATGCTGCCTTTGCCTCAGCCTTTAACAGTCAGACCAGTTGTTCTCCAGGTACCTAGCCCCCTAGGCTGGAAGACAGGGATGGGGAGCAGAATGAAGCCCCCGTAATCCAAGGGGAAATGGTTAGCAACCTGCTGCACCACTTAGACACACACAAGTCTAGATGGGATCCACCCAAGGGTACTGAGGGAGCTGGTGGAAGCGCTCACCAAGCCACTTTCAATCCTTTTCAGCAGTCCTGGCTAACTGGGGAGCTCCCAGTTGACTCGAGGTTACCAAATGTGACACCCATCTACAAGAAGGGCTGGAAGAAGGATCCAGGGAACTACAGGACTGTCAGTCTGACCTTGGTGCCAGGGAAGGTTATGGAGCAGATCATCTTGAGTGCCATCACGCACCATGTACAGGACAACCACATGATCAGGCCCAGTCAGCATGGCCTTATGAAAGGCAGGTCCTGCTTGACTCCTTGATCTCCTTCTATGACAAGGTGACCTGCTTAGTGGATGAGGAAAAGGCTGTGGATGTTGTCTACCTAGACTTTAGTAAAACCTTTAATACCATTTCCCACAGCCTCCTCCTGGAGAAACTGTCTGCTTAAGGCTTGGATGGGTGTATTCTTCGTTGGGTACAAAAACTGGCTGGATGGCCAGGCCCAAAGAGGTGTGGTGAATGGAGTTAAAACCAGTTGGCAGCCGGTCACAAGTGGTGTTCCCCAGGGCTCAGTATTGGGGCCAGTTCTGTTTAATATCTTTATGATGTTATGATCTGGACGAGGGGATCAAGTGCACCCTCAGTAAGTTTGCAGATGACACCAAACTGGGTGGGAGCATTGATCTGCTGGAGGGTAGGAAAGCTCTACAGGGGGGTCTGGACAGGCTGGATCGATGTGCTGAGACCACTGTATGCGGTTCAACAGGAATAAGTGTCAGGTCCTGCACTTGGGTCACAACAACCCCATGCAATGCTACAGGCTTGGGGAAGAGT